GACTAGCAGTTATGGCTGCTCTCAGTCTTGCCCTCAGAGGCTCTACTTCTCAGTGTTCCAGTAATCGCTGCAAGCCCTTGAAGAGAAAGCTGCCCTCGGGTTCTGACTGATGCCAGACAGTCCCGCTTCTCCAGTATGAGCCTGGGTCCCTAGAGACTCACCCGGAACTGGAGCTCAGAGCCTGAGACTCCCTCCCGATTGAAAACAACAACGGCGCCCTCATCCGCCAGCCCGCTCTGCATGCACTGCGCACCTTAGTATTTTACTTCTGCACTGCGCCTCCTCTGAGTCTCGGTATGCTTTTCTCTTTCCTTCTAGTTGTATAATTTCCACTCAGCCAGCCTTCCTGTGGTTCTGGATGATGTCCTTTCCATCTTTTAGTTGTATTTTTGAAGTGGTTGTTCGAGGCAGCAAACTCTGGTGTTTACCTATGCCGCCATCTTGGTTCTCCTCAAAATTCAATATTTTTAAGTGTAACAATATGTATGCTGTTTAACACCTTCAGCAAATTTGACATATGAAGTTTTGAAGCTTGTCAATACAACAAAATAGCATACATATCAAATCGCATATATATCAACATAGGTGTAACTTCATCTATTGAAAAAAAATCCGCATTATTAACTGGTACACCTAGTAAAGGAAAGGACTTTTCCTTCTCACTCCTTACTCTACACCTGCAACCAGTCCAGGGACCAACGGGTAACAAACACCCAATTGCTTTTGATGAATTAGGAAGAAATAAATGGTGAACGAATGAGTGAATGATTCCAAATCTCTCCAGAGACTGGAACCTGGCTGCCAAATCCTTGGAATTCTGGTCACATGGGACAGGTTACCTGTCCATCCTGGGGTTGAGACCCCTGTCTCAGGCCCTTTGCTGCTGTCTAGAGAAATAGTCCTTCCTGCCCTGGATGGTTTTTAACTCAGTGGACAGAGCATTGGCTTGTGGTTTTGCTCAGTGGACAGGGCATGTACCTTGGTTGCAGGCCCGATCCCTGGCCCCAGTTGGGGCACGTGCAGGAGGCAACCAATCGATCTGTCTGGCATTGATGTTTCTCTCTCTCTGTCTCTCTCCCTCCCTTCTACTTGCTCTAAAAATCAATGGGAAAAATATCCTCTGGTGAGGATTAACAACGCAAAACGAAGGGAGAGAAAGAGAGAGAGAAAATGAGAGAGAGAGAGAGAGAGAGAGAGAGAGAGAGAGAGAGAGAGAATAGTCTTTCCTGCTATTGGTCTTAGGGTCCTATGTATTAATAATACTTTTCACATATGAAATATTTTAAATTCCTTTCAAGTTTCTCTTATAACCACCAAACACAAATGGTCCACAAGGGCCAGAATGTCAGTAAGTCCATGCTCCCCTCTTGCTGTCCATCACCTCTTCTGCATCTGCATCTGCACAAGTCCTCCCCTGCCCTCAGCAGAGGGAGAATGACTTTAATGACCAAGGGCAAAGCACATGATTCTGCTGCCACAGTCAGCTCCTGTCTGTCCCTTCAATCTTTTCTAGCTCATTCATTGGACTCTGCTCTGTCATTTATTGGCTCACTGGCTCATGTCAGTCATACTCACCTGGGAAGGCCTAACCTAGCTCCTGGCCTCAGGGGCCTGAGTAGTCAACTGACCACCAGCTTGCTCTTGTTTTCCATGTGTTATTTCTGCTCCAATCCCAGACTCTAGGATGCCCTGGGAAATTGTGCCTCATAGAAACACACTTTAGCTGGGTGATGGAAGTCTGAGCAGCTAGAAGAAATGGCCCCTGTTCAGCCAGGCAGTCAGCTGGTCATTGAAGAACCAGGAGAAGTGCAGGGTGGTCTCTAGCTCCCCATCTTGTGTCTTTCCATGATCAACGATAGTTAATTGACACCTGAGAAAGTCTGTACTTTTCCTCAGATATAGAGTTGGAGGCCTACATTCTCTGAGCACTCAGATCCCCATGTGTTTATCTTGTGATATACCGGCCTGCTTTGCTCCTCCCCCCCCCCCCCCCCCGCCCCTTTACTCTTATGAGGACTTAAGCGGCTGAGAGTGGAGAGGTCCAACTCTGATGCCTTTGGAGGAAACAAAGGTACCACACAGAGCAGTGATCTCTTTGTTACCTGAACAGCAGAGTTACCCACACCCAACATCACTACCAACAACTTCAACTCCAAGAGTTTTGATTTGTGTTTTCCTAGTGATAGTGATGTTGAGCGTCTTTTCCTGGGCTTATTGGCCACTTGTATATCTTCTCTGGAGAAATGTCTATTCAAGAATTTTGCCCATTTTTCAACCCTGGTTATTTGGTTTTGTTTTTGTTGTTGAGTTGTAGGAGATCTTTATATATTCTAGACATTAACCCTTCATCCTATACAGACAGTCCTCGTGTTACGTCAGACTCGACGAATGTCATTTGTGGTTACATCACCATCTCCCATTTATTTATATATAAAAAAAGTTCCCTCATTTCGACGTTATGTACATATATGCTTTATGTTTTTTATTATTTATTTAGCACAGGTAATGGTCAGGAATTTTTATCTTTCTTTTAAATTTTTTTTTTTACTGTTTTACTTCATTACTGCTGTGTATGTGCTCCATGTGAGTGACGTAGGTGCTTATGTAGGTGGGTTCCGACTTACAGCGAAAATCGCGTTATGTCGTGCCGTAGGAACAGATCTCCGATGTAACCCGAGGACCTACTGTATATGATTTGCAAAGTATTTTCTCCCATTCCATAGGCCACCTTTCACTCTGTTGATTGTGTCCTTTGATGAACAGTTTTTCATTTTTATAAAGTCCAGTTTATTAGGGGTTTTTTTGTATGTGTTCTTAGTGTCATATTTAAGAAATCATTGCCAAATCCAATGTCATCAAGCTTCCCCCTATATTTTCTTCTGGGTTTTATAGTTTTAGGTCCCACCATTAGAATTAAATCCGTTTTGAATTAATTCTTGTTTACAGTGTAAGATAATTAGGTCCACTTCATTCATTTGCATGTGGATAAAGTTGTTCACCACCATTTGTTGAAAAGACTATCCTTTTCCCATTGAATGGCCTTGGCTCCTTTATTGAAACCATTTGATCACATAATGGAGGTTTTATTTCTGGGTCTCCATTGTATTATTACATGGACTATATGTCTGTCTTTATGCCAGTGACACACTATTTTGGTTACTTTAGCTCTTTAGTAGGTTTTGAAATCAGGCAGTATGAGACTTCCAATTTCATCCTTCTTTTTAAAGATTGTTGCAACCATTTGGGGACCCTTAAAATTCTATATGAATTCTAGGAAGGATTTTTCTATTTCTGCCAAAAAAAAGTCATTAGGATTTTGATGGGGATTACATCAAATATGTAGGTAGCTGGGTGGTCTTCCAATTCATGAACATGGATGTCTTTCCATTTATTTGTTTCTTCTCAAATATGTTTGGTAGTTTTCCATGTATACGGTACTTCTCCCATGTATTGGTTAAGTTTATTCCCAAGTATTCTATTATTTCTGATGCTATTGTAAATGGAACTGTTTTCTTAATTTCATTTTGGGATTGTTCATTGTTGTTGTAAAGAAATAGAAATGATGCCAAGTGTTGATTTTTGTCTCCTGCAACTTCACTGAATTCATTAGTTATAAGTTTTTTCCCCCTATATGTGGAATATTTAGGGTTTTCTGCATCTAAAATTATGTCATCTGTTAGAGACATAATTTTTCTTCTTCCTTTGCAATTTGTATGCCTTTTATTCCATCTTCTTGTCTGATTGCTCCAGCCAAACTTCCAGTACTGTAGTGAGCAGGAATGGTGAAAGCAGTATCTTTGTCTTGTTCACGACCTTAGTAATGTTTTCCGAGTTTCTTCACAGAGAGTTGTGTGGCTGTGAGCTTTCATGTGTGTGGCCTTTAGCATATCAAATAATTTTCTTCTATTCCTACAGTCTCTGCCTTTTGTTAAAACCTCTTCTCTCTAGAGATGTCCTTCATGGCAATATCCAATCACAGACCAGGAAGTAAAGTCCTGTTCAGATTGAGAAGTAAATCCTTTAGATGGAACCTCTCCAGGTCCAAGGTCATGAAAACTGGGTTGGGCTGTTTTTATTGCCTAATAAATTATTTAACAAGGGGTAAATGCCTTTCCACTTTCTGTAAAGTTTCCCTGACCCCAGAAATGGACAGAGGTGGTAAACCTCCCTTCCCCAACATGCATGAAGTTTACATGAGGAGCAGGAGCTGATCTTCTTTGAAATCAAAGAAAGTTCTAGAAAAGGGTCAAAATGTTTGTAAAAATAAATTCCACTGGAGAATAAGGTTTCAGGACACATGGGCTGAGGTTGCAGGACACAGCCTGACCCTGCATGCTGACTGGCCCCTGCTTGCCCTGCTCAGAAAAAATTCCACCTGAGAATGAGGTTGTAGGAGACATGAGCTGAAAAGGTGTTCCTGGTGTTGATATAAAGATGTTTATGGGGACAGGTCAGGCATCATCCTGGGGTGATCTGGGGTCAGAGAAGAGGTGCAGCCCCCTCTTACACATTGTCACCTGAACAAAATACTCATCCTGCAGAGGTTGGGGCCATCTTCTGGTGACCTTTACAGAGATCACTGTGGACTGTGAGTGGCTGACATCTCTGAGGAAGGAGCCCACTCTCAGTCAGTCACCTCCTCTGTTCTCCACAGAGCCCGTGGGGAAGCCCTCCATCCGAGCCAGCAATGCCACAGTCACAGAGCATAAGGACGCCGTGGTCCTGACCTGCTTCACCAATGACAAGGGGATCTCCATCCGGTGGCTCTTCGAGAACCAGAGTCTCCTGCTCACGGACAGGATGAAGCTGTCCCAGGACAACAGTGTCCTCACCATAGACCCTGTCAGGAGGGAGGATGCTGGGGGTTATCAGTGTGAGGTCTTCAACCCCATCAGTTCTAGCAAAAGTGAGCCCCTCAGGCTGGATGTGTATTATGGGTAACCCTCCTCCCCTCCTCTATGCTATTAAGTTCTGAATAATTTTTTTCTTTTTTAAAAATATTTTTTTATTGATTCCAGAGAGGAAGGGAGAGGGATAGAGAGATAGAAACATCAACGATGAGAGAGAATCACTGATCGGCTGCCTCCTGCACACCCCACACTGGGGATTGAGCCCCCAACCTGGGCATGTGTCCTGACTGGGAATTGAACTGTGATCTCCTGGTTCATAGGTTGGTGCTCAACTACTGATAAATTTTTTCTTATCTGAAAATTACGGCCATGATGCACTTTCTAAATAGGTTCCTTGTGAATAGTCAATGACAAAGGTGGAAAGTCCTTAGAAGACTTGCGTTGAGTCAATAAATGCTTAAAACTGTGAACTGACATTGTCGTTATTGTTGACTCAAGATCACATTCCACACCAGAACCCACCTCTGGTTGGTCTCAGTTGCACCATCTCCACAGTGGAGGCAACACCAAATTCCTCAGAGGATGGGCAGTGGCTGTGAAATGACCAGTGGGAGCATGTGATTAGCTCACAGGAATCTGACCTCTGTCCCTCCTGCATGGGGTCATGTGGATGGTGCCTGGATTCTGTCATGGACAATGAGAGTAGACAGGAGGTAAGATTGAGATGAAATGCGCTCAACACAAAGCAGTTTGTCCACATCATCCTTCTCAGAGGTGGGAGGAGGAATCAGAGAGCCCAAGTCTCACGCTGAGACCCTGGGACAAGGTGAAGCCTGGAAGGAAATAACAGTCTCCAGGCAGGTTCCATCCCCATCTACAGACCCCACCACACATCAGCTTACCTGAGAGGTGCCTCTTAAATAGCAATGTGTGAATCAGGGACACGATTCTTCTGTAGGGACAGGGACCACCTGGGCTGAGACTCAATGATAGAGGAACCCATGCAGGACAAGATCTCTCTCCACATGAGGTTTCACCATCGCCACAGAAAGATGCAACCCGGCACACCTGCTCATAGGGGACAGCAGCCCAGGCGGACTCATGCTAGAGGTGAACCCCAAAGTCATGGGCCATCTCACACCCTCCATGCCTATTCCAGCTCCTTCAGGCTTTGCCCTCCTGGGCAGCAACCCCAATCCTCAGTCTCTAGGGTGTGGCTTTCACCTCACTAAGCAACAGGGGTCCTGGACACCCAGACATCCCTGCAGAGATTGGCCATTTGGGCGCTTGTCCTTGTCTTTCCCCTGAACCTCTCAGGGCCCAGGAGGCTCTCCTTCTAGGCTCTCCCTTTATTCAGGGGCTCAGGGAACTGCACATCCCTGAACCCCACTTGGAAGGAAGCTGCCCCTACCCTCTTCCTGACTCCATGTGGACAGCTGTGCACAGTGAGCAAAGACTGCACAACTTCAGGAGGCACCCTAAGCTAGAATACAACATCCAGTGCCTATGGGACTCACCAGTGGTACTGACCTCTCTACTCCCCAGGCCTCGGCTCTTCTTACAACTCAGTCATCCTAGTGAGCTCCATCCCCTCTGTCCACACCTGCCTGCAGGGTATAACTGGCCCTCCTCAGCATTGCCAGTCTGAGCACAGGGTGGGTCCCTGTCCACTGAGGAAAGCTGAGGGGCCTCATCCAGAAAAGAGACAGGGCTGAGGTCCCCTGGAGAGGAGCACCCAATGTTCCCATTCAGGCAGGTGACTGGTGACTGAGCTCTCACTCAAGCCTCCCCAGAGAGGACCAGCAACCCAACCACATCTCTGAGGAGGGGTGGGAGGTTCTGATGTAGGGAAGTGGCTGTGGAAGGTGTTCAGTAGGATGGAGAAAAGCCTGGGGACAGTGCAGGACCTGGTGTGAGGAATGGACAGGAGCAAAGAGAGGGGTGAGGGAGGTCAGAGAAAGCTGCCCCCTCATCTTGAAGGTGATAGGGACAGTGAGCTCTGAGGGAAGTAGATACATGAGGTCCATATTGGGTTCTGACAGGTCTCCCCTCCCAGAGTAGGTCTCCCAGGAGGCTTGCTTGCTCCAGTGATGGAGGAAGCCAAGGTTCCCCGCCTGCCGCCACCCAGCTCTGAGCTCCTGATGCAACAATGTTGCACTTATAGAAGCTAAACAAGCTCCAGATAGCTGCTTTCAGCCAGCAGCAGGCTCAGAGCTTAGAGTGCCTGTGATGGCAACAGAGTTTCAATTATAGAAGCTAAACAAAGCCCAGATATCTGCTTTCAGCAGCCGAGGCCTCAAGCTGGAGCCGGCCTCAGAGCTAAAGCCGGCTCTCAGCTCCAGTGACAGCCATAGAAAGTAAATAAATCCCAGAAAAAAAAGAAAAAAAAAAGGGAGTGGTGAACCTGTAGAGATAAAATATGGCTAAAAGCCTACGGAGTAAGTGGAAAAGGAAGATGCGTGCTGAAAAGAGAAAAAAGAATGCCCCAAAGGAGCTTAGCAGACTTAAAAGTATTCTTAAAGTAGATACTGATGTTTTAATGAAAGATGTTCATGAGGTAGCAACTGTGGTGGTCCCCAAACATTCTGAAGTGAAAACCCAGTGTGTGGTGAAAGATGGCAAAGGTGAGTTAAAAAAAAATTCTGTCAGTTTCCTTTTATGACTTTTTTTCTTTTTTCCTGTCTTCCATTCACTCCCACACTTGCGTCCCTACAAACCTCCTGCCATGCCCACATTATTCTTTGAAGGCTTATGTTGCTGCTAGAGATTCTGTGCTAAACTATTTTATAGCCAGTTCATGTGAATAGGCACGTTTGGGGATAGGCAGAGTGGGCCTTTGATGTTTATACAATAGCCCAAATGTCTCAGAAATAGACAGTGCTATAGGAGTAGGCAAACCTAGACATCCTAAAAAAAGCAAAAAAAAAAAAAAAAAAGAAAAGAAAAAGAAAAAGAAAAAAAGGAGAGGCTGGGAACTTCAGTCACCCGCCAGCCTGAAAACAGCTCTCAGCCCCTCATCCAGACTAGCCAGGCACCCCAGTGGGGACCCCAACCCTAAAGGGGGTGCGGGCAGCCTAAAAACAGCCATCATCCCATCATCCAGGCTGGCCAGGCACCCAAGCGGAACCCCCACCCTGATCCAGGACACCCTTCAGGGCAAACCAGCCGGCCCCCACCCATGCACCAGGCCTCTATCCTATACTACAGGCAGGGTGGGACAGTGCGAGCTGCCATCCGGGCCCCATGTGCAGCCCTGGGCAGCGGGGCATAAGCCCCGCCCCCAGCCGGGACCCCTATGTGTCACCTGAGCCCCCAGCCGGGACCCCTGTGCCGCCTAAGCCCCACACTGCTAAGCCCCACCCCCAGCCGGGACCCTATGACTATTGGAGAGCAGGAAAGTGCCACTGGGCCCTGGGTTGCTGTGGTGATTCAGCCATCAGTAAGTAGAAAAGTGTGGCCTGTAGGCAGCCCCCAGCTGCGCCTGATCCGGGAGCAGGAAAGCAAGCCAGGCCTGTGGGCAGCCCCAAGCTGGGCCTGATCCAGGAGCAGGAAAGCCTGGCCTGTGGGCAGCCCCCAGCTGGGCCTGCTCCCTGGTCGCCATGGGGATCCGGGAGCAGGAGAGCAAGCCCGGCCTGTGGGCAACTCCAAGCTGGGCCTGCTCCCCGGTTGCCATGAGACCTGGAAGCAGGAAAGCCCGGCCTGTGGGCAGCCCCCAGCTGGGTCTGCTCCCTCGTCGCTATGGCGATCCTGGAGCAGGAAAGCCCAGCTTGCAAGCAGCACCTCCATCCTGGCCATAGCTCAAGGGAGAGTACAACATGCAGTGGAGGCCAGGAGCCTGAGAGATCAACACAGAGGGGCTCCTGCTCCAAGCCTCCATGGTGTGGCTGGGGGCAGGCCCCCAGCAGACATACACACACACACACACACACACACACACACACACACACACGGCAACTGCTTTGAGCCTACATGGCGTGGCTGGGGGCAGGCCCCAGCAGACACACACACACACACACACACACACACACACACGGGAAGCCTGCTCCGAGCCTCTGCTGCCAAACTGTGGCCATCAGTAGGACATCAACTGAGGGCTCCCGGACAGTGAGAGGGGCAGGCTGGGCTGAGGAAACCCCCACCCCCCAGTGCACGAATTTCATGCACCGGGCCTCTAGTATCTTATATAATAAAGAGGTAATATTCAAATTGACCATCACTCCAACACACAAAATGGCCGCCCCATGTGGTCAAATATGGCTGCCCCAATGTGGACACAAGATGGCTGGCAGGGGAGGGCAGTTGGGGGGACCAGGCCTGCAGGGAAGGGCAGTTGGGGGGGACCAGGCCTGCAGGGGAGGGCAGTTAAGGGGGACCAGGCTGGCAGGGGAGGGCAGTTGGGGGCAATCGGGCCGGCAGGGGAGCAGTTAGGTGTCGATCAGTCTGGTAGGCAGAAACAGTTAGGGGCAATCAGGCGGGCAGGCAGGTGAGTGGTTGGGAGCCAGCAGTCCTGGATTGTGAGAAGAATGTCCAACTTCTCATTTAGGACCGATCACACCAGGGTCCCAGATTGGAGAGGGTGCAGGTGGGCTGAGGGACAACCCTCCGCTGTGCATGAATTTCATGCACTGGGCCTATCCTATCTAATAATAGAGAAACATGGTGATTAACCATAACTTTGCTACCCTTCCCATTGGCTAATCAGTGCGATATGCAAATTAACTGCCAAACAAGATGGCGGCCAGCAGCCAGGCAGCTGAAGCAAACAGGAGGCTTGCTTGCTCCAGTGATGGAGGAAGCCAAGGTTCCCCGCCTGCCACTGCGGGCCTCTGAGCTACAGTCTAAGAAACTATGTTGTAAATATAGAAGCTAAACATTCCCCAGAAACCTGCTTTCAGCCAGCCGGGATCTCAGAGCTGGAGTCGCAACAAAGTTTCAAATACAGAAGGTAAACAAAGCCCAGAAACCTGCTTTCAGCAGCCGAGGTCTCAGAGCTGGAGCCGAGCCTCAGAGCTAAAGCTGGCTCTCAGCTCCAGTGACAGCCATAGAAGGTAAATGAATCCCAAAATAAAAAAAAGAAAAAAGGGAGAGGTTGAGAACTTCAGTCACCCGCCAGCCTGAAAACGGCCCTCAGCTCCTCACCCAGGCTGGCCAGGCACCCCAGTGGGGACCCCCACCCTGAAGGGGGTGCGACCAGCTGCAAACAGCCATCATCCCCTCATCCAGGCACCCAAGCGGGACCCCCAGCCTGATCCAGGACACCCTTCAGGGCAAACCAGCCAGCCCCCACCCATGCACCAGGCCTCTATCCTATATAGTAAAAGGGTAATATGCCTCCCAGCACCGGGATCAGCGGAGCCGCGAGGCCTCCCAGCACCGGGATCAGTGGAGCCTCCCAGCACCGGGATCAACGGAGCCACGAGGCCTCCCAGCCTGGGATCAGCAGAGCCACAAGGCCTCCCGAACCCGGGAT